AATAAATTAGCACCAGTCCAGCACTGCAAAAAAATGTTCAAAGGACTGCTGTAATTAGCAGCAGAAATAGAAAGAAAAATATAACCACACCAAACAAAAATTGCAACAAATAAATTCATATAAATAATCACCTTAAATGTAAATGGATTGAAGGCTCCCATAAAGAGACACGGAATAGCTGGATTGAAGGCTCCCATAAAAAGACACAGAGTAGCAGATTGGGAAAAAAATCTTGATTCATCTATATGTTGTTAACAAGAGACCCACCTCACAACAAATAACTCACATAGGTTGACAGTGAAGGGATGGAAAAAAATCTTCCAATCAAACAGAAAGGAAAAAGGAGCTTGGGGGGCAATACTCATATCTGATTAAAAAAAAGATGTCAAAATGAAGACCATATTTAGAGACAAAGAAGGCCCCTACATAATATTGAAAGAATCTATCCAACAGGAAAATATAACCTTGCTGAACATATATGCACCCAACATAGGACACAAAAATATATTAAAAATCCTCTGGAAGACTTCAAAGGGGATATCGATAGCAATACAACCATAGCAGGTAATTTCAACACCACGTTGACACCACTGGATAGATCCTGTAGACAAAAAATTAGCAAGAAAACAGGGACTCTAAATGAAGCACTAGACCAACTTGATTTAATAGATATCTACAGAGAATTACAACTCAAAACTACAGAATTCACATTCTTCTCAAGTGTACATGGGACATTCTCAAAGGTAGACCACATCTTAGGGCACAAAATAAGTATCTACAAGTTCAAGAAGATTGAAATTATATCAAGGATCTTCTCAGATCACAATGGCATGAAACTAGAAATCAACTGCAATGAGAACATGCAAAGACATTTGAACACATGGAAGCTAAATAGCATGCTATTAAACAATGAATGAGTTACCAAGGAGATCAAGGAAGATATTAAAAACTTCCTGGAAACCAATGAAAATTAACACACTACAACACAAAATCTATGGGATGCAGTGACAGCAGTTCTGAGAGGGAAGTACATAGCACTACAGGCCTACCTCAAAAAAACAAGAAAAATCTCTAATAAACTACCTTACCTCACAACTTAAAGAACTAGAAAGCAAACAAAAAGAAAACCCCAGAGCAAGTAGAAGGAAGGAAATAGTAAAGATCAGAGCAGAAATAAATGAGTCCAAAAAAAAAAAAAACAATTCAAAGGATCAATGAAACAATAAGCTGGTTTTCGAAAAGATAAACAAGATGGATGGAGACTTCCAGTCAAGATGGCGGCGTTGGTAAAGGCAGTATCGCATCCTCCCACAAACACATCAAAGTTACAACTAAGCTACAGAACAACCATCATTCAAAACCACCTAAAATCAAGCTGAATGGAAGTCGTACAACTACGGAATTAAAAAAAAAAGCAGCTACATCCAGACTGGTAGGAGGGGCGGCGGGAGGGATGGCAGCGGTGGCGCAGCGGCGGCGGCGGCACGGCGGCGCGAAGGGCTAGTCCCACACCAAAGCGTGGCGGATAAAAATCAGGAGGCTCCCACGGCTGGGAAGGTCCTTCCTGAGGACTGAGGGGTCCCCATCCCACACCAGGTGCCCCGTTCAGGGTTCCAGTGCCAGGAAGAGAAGTCCCCATAACTTCTGGCTGGAAAAAACAGCAGAAACTGAGGCTCAGGGAAGCTGACCTGGCTGGAGCCCCAGGCAGCTCCCTAAAGGGACTTATCAGACTCTCTCCCTCTAAGCTCGGAGGGGAGGCAGCTCGAGGGGCGCCAGAGACATACAGGGAAGAACTGAACTATTGGGCACTGGAGCGAGGGCTGGAGAGGGGGCTTCCTCAGGAACAAACGTGCTGTAAGAGGCCTTTGTTCCTTTAGTGAGCCCTTCCCGGGGGCGGCAGACAGAAGCCATATCTGGGACTCTAGCAACCTGGCTCACACTGGTAGTCCCGCCCTGCTGACTCCCTGAGGCCCCGCCCCACCCCACACAACTTTCAAGCCCACCCAAGCTGTTGCCACTTGCTTAACCATATGATTGGCCGGTCTTGGATCCTGCTTTAGGTTTTCCCTAAATTATTTCAAATGAGCAGCATCGGGTCTCCGCGAGCCCCATACCTCTCCTTAAGTAATACACAGAAACAAACACAGGGAGGCAGCCAAAATGAGGATACAAAGAAACAGGTCCCAAATGAAAGAACAGAACAAAACCCCAATAAAAGAACTAAGGAAAAGGGAGATAAGCAACCTAACAGATACTGAGTTCAAAATACTGCTTATAAGGATGCTCGATGAACTTAGTGAGAACCTCAGTGAACTTAGGGAGGGCCTCAAGAGCACAAAAAAGGACCAGTTAGAAATCATGGATACACAGTTAGAATTGAAGGAGGCATTAACTGAAATAAAGAATAATTTACACAGCTTCAATAATAGAGTATGTAAATCCAAGGAGCAAACCATTGATTTGGAATATAAGGAAGTAAAAAATCCCCAATCAGAACAGCAAAAAGAAAAAAGAATCCAAAAAAAGGAGGATAGTGTAAGGAGCCTCTGGGACAACTTCAAGCGTGCCAACATTCGCATCTTGGGGGCGCCGGAAGGAGAAGAGAGAGAACAAGAAATCGAAAACCTGTTTGAAACAATAATGGCAGAAAACTTTCCTAACTTGGCGAAGGAAACAGACATACAAGTCCAGGAAGCACAGAGAGTCCCAAACAAGATGAACCCCAAGAGGCCCACACCAAGACACATCATCATCAAACTGCAAAAGGTTCAAGACAAAGAGAGAATCTTAAAAGCAGCAAGAGAAAGGCAGCTAGTTACCTACAAGGGAGTTCCCATTAGGCTATCAGCTGATTTCTCAAAACAAACTTTGCAGGCCAGAAGGGAGTGGCAAGAAATATTCAGAGTGATGAAAACCAAGAACCTACAACCAAAATTACTCTATCCTGCAAAGCTGTCATTTAGAATCGATGGACATATAAAAACTTTCCCAGACAAGAAAAAGTTAAAGGAGTTCATCACTACCAAACCGTTATTATATGAAATGATGAAGGGTCTTTTTGAAGAAAGAGATAAAATGTATGAACAAACAAAATGGCAATGAATACATATCTATCAACAATGGAATCTACAAACAAAATGAACAGGAAGAACAGAAACATTCTCATAGATACAGAGAACATTTTGTTGGTTGCCAGTTGGGAAGGGGGTTGGGGGAATCGGTGAAAAAGGTGAAGGGATTAAGAAGCACAAATTCATTGCTAGACTGACAAACCTCAAAGAGAAAGGGGTTGGGGAGGTGGGAAGAAATAAACCGAAGAACTTATATGCATAACCAATGGACACAGACAATAGTGTGGGAAAAGGCGGAGGGGGACAGGAGTGGGGAGGAGGGGGACAATGGGGGGAAAATGTGGAACATCTGTAACACATTTCACATCCAACAATAAAGATTTAAAAAGAAAAAAACGTTTAAACTAAAAAAAAAACAAACTAAAAAACTAAAAACAAAAACAAGATGGATGGACCCTTAGCTAGACTTACCAAGAAACAAAGAGAGAACCCAAATACACAAAATCAGAAACGAAAGAGGAGAAGTAACAACTGACACCACAGAAATAAAAAAGATCATTAACAACTACTATGAAAAATTATAGCCCTGGCCAGTTTGGCTCAGCGGTTAGAGCATCGGCCTGCGGTCCGGAGTGACCCGGGTTCAGTTCCCACAAAGGGCACGTACTTCGGTTGCAGTTTGTCCCCGGCCCTGGTTGGTCATGCGGGTGGCAGCCACTCGATGTGTCCCTTCAGGTCGATGTTTCTCTCTCTCTCTCCCTTCCTCTCTCTCCCTCCCACTCTATCTGTACAAAAAATGGAAAAATATCCTCGAGTGAGGATGAAAAAAAACATTATATAACAACAAAATTGACAATCTAAGTAAAATGGACAAATTTCTAGAAACACATAGTCACCCAAAACTGGATCAGGAAGAGATAGAAAACTTGAACAGACCAATAACAACAGAAGAAATTGAAGATGTAATCAAGACTCTCCCAGCAAACAAAAGCCCAGTCCCGGATGGCTTCACGGGGGAGTTTTACCGAACATTCAAAGAAGAACTAACACCCATTCTCCTCAAACTATTTCAAAAAATTCAAGAAGGAAGACTTCCAAACTTGTTTCATGAAGCCAGCCTAATTCTAATTCCAAAACCAGAAAAAGACACTACAAAGAAAGAAAACTACAGGCCAATATCCCTGATGAACATAGATGCCAAAATCCTGAACAAAATACTAGCAAATAGGATCCAGCAATACACCAAAAAAACTATTCACCATGACCAACTGGGATTCATCCCAGGGATGCAAGGCTGGTACAATATTCACAAATCAATAAATATGATGCACCACATAAATAAAATGAAGAATAAAACCACACGATCATATCAATAGATTCCGAAAAAGCCTTCGACAAAATCCAGCATTCATTTCTGATAAAAACGCTCAGCAATGTGGGAATAGAGGGATCATATATTGTCATAATAAAGGCCATATATGAAAGACCTACAGCCAACATCATACTTAATGGGCAGAAACTAAAAGCATTTCCCTTAAGAACAGAAATAAGGCAAGAATGCCTACTTTTGCCACTCTTATTTATCATAGTACTGAAAGTCTTAGCCACAGCAATCAGACATGAAGAAAAAATAAAAGGGATCCAAATTAGAAAGGAGGAAGTGAAACTGTCATTATTCATAGATGACATGATACTATACATAGAAAACCCCAAAAATTCCATCAAAAATTTACTAAACTTAATAGATGTATTTGACAAAGTAGCAGGATACAAAATTAACATCAAGAAATCGATGACATTCTTTTTTTTTTTTTCCCTTTTGAACTCCATTTCAATTCTGATTGCATCAAAGAGAAAGTCTTCATTTTGGTCCTACTTTTAGTGCCTCAATAACGGTTGTTAATCTTTTTTTTTTTTTTTTTTTAACAGAGGGAAAGGGAGCCTTCATCTCTGAGTCTTTGGCAGGGAAGGAAAAAAATCTAACTGGATTGATAACACCTCTTTGTTTTCATGGTATTTATTTTTATGGTCACTTTTTATTTCTGGCAAGTGATTCTGGTATTTCATTTTATGATTGTGATTAAAATATTTTTTTCTAAATAAAAGTATTAAGAGTCTATGTCAATAAAAACATTAATAGGTGAGATGGCAAGTAGATAAACATCACAGCTATGAAGACAGTGCAAGAATGACAGTCATTTTGGAAGCTCTGTTTTGATGGAAAGAGTAGAGGACATTAGAGTCCACTCTAAGTGAAGAACTGAGCCAGAGGTCCCAGTCATGGAACCTAGGGACAATCCCTCCAACTCCTTGTAAAAAATGGGCAGTGATGGGGAAAATATCTGTTGTGCCCAACTCAATGGACCAAAGGTAATGACAAGATGAGATGACTGGTAAACTTCAGGGGTGATGGGGGTGGTGGTGAGGGGGTGGGCTATATAGGCATAAGGTATTATCATTATCAATGGCATTCTTATACACCAATGATGAACTCACAGAAAGAGAAACTAAGAAAACAATCCCATTTACCATTGCGGCAAAAAAAATTAAGATACTTAGGAATAAACTTAATCAAAGAAATAAAGGGCATATTCACCAAAAACTTCAAGTCATTGAAAAAAGAAATAGAGGAAGATATAAAAAAGTGGAAGCACATACCCTATTCATGAATTGTAAGAATTAACATCATTAAAACGTCCATACTACCCAAAGCAATCTATAGATTCAATGCAAGCCCCATCAAAATACCAACGACATATTTCACAGAATTAAAACAAATACTTCAAAAGTTCATATGAAACCAAAAAAGACCTTGAATAGCCACAGCAATCTTGAAAAAGAAAGACAAATTTGGAGGAATCACACTATGAGATTTCAGGTTATATTACAAAGCCATTGTAATCAAAACAGCTTGGTACTGGCACAAGTACAGGCATATAGACCAGTGGAAGAAAACAGAGAACCCAGAAATGGACCAAGGCAATATGCTCAATTAATATTTGACAAAGGTGGCCAGAGCATACAGTGGAGTAAGGATAGCCTCTTTAATAAATGGTGTTGGGAAAATTGGACAGCTACATGCAAAAAAAAAAAAATGAAACTAGACCATCAACTTACACCCTACACAAGAATAAACTCAAAATGGATAAAGGACTTAAATATGACTCATGAATCCATAAAAATCCTAGAAGAAACTGTAGGCAACAAAATTTCAGATATCATATGCAGCAGAATTTTCACTGATACATCACCTGAGGCAATAGAAACAAAGGAGGAAATGAACACATGGGACTACATGAAACTCAAAAGCTTCTGCACAGCAAAAGATATAATCATCAAAACGAAAAAGCTACCTACTGTATGGGAGAGCATAGTTGCCAATGATATATCAGATAAGGGATTAATTTCTAATATATATAGGGTGCTTATACAACTCAACAAAAGGAAGACAAAGAACCCAATTAAAAAATGGGCAGAGAACTAAATAGACACTTCTTTAAACAGGACATACAAATGGCTAAGAGACATATAAAGAAATGCTCAACATCACTAATCATCAGAGAGATGCAAATTAAAACAACAATGAGGTATCACCTGACACATGTCAGAATGGCCGCCATCAACAAATAATCAAACAACAAGTGTTGTCGCAGGTGTGGAGAAAAGGGGACTCTAGTACACTGCTGGTGGGAATGCAGACTGGTACAGCCACTATGGAAAACAATATGGTGTTACCTCAAAAAAATAAAAATTGCACTTCCATTTGACCCAGTGATCCCACTTCTAGAAATATACACTAAGAAGCCTGAAACACCAATCAGAAAGAATATATGTACCCCCATGGTTGTAGCAGCACTATTTACAATAGCTAAGATCTGGAAACAGCCCAAGTGTCCATCAGTAGACAAATGGATAAAAAAGCTGTGGTACATATACCCAATGGAGTACTGTGCAACTCTAAGAAAGAAAGATCTCTTATCCTTTGAGACGACGTGGAGGGACCTGGAAAGTATTATCCTAAGCGAAACAAGCCAAACAGAGAAAGACAAGTATCATATGATCTCACTTATTTGTGGAATATAATGAACATAACAGTCTGTGGAATGGGTAACTCCCAGAGACATGGAAGTGAGGTACAGACTGACAATCCCCAGCAGAGGGGTGATGGGGGAGAAATAAACCACATAACTTATATGCATATATGCATGAACAATGGACATGAACAGCAAAGCCGGGGACAAGGCAGGGAGGGAGGGGAAGAGGAATTTGGGGGGGGGAAGGGAGAAACATCTGTAACAAAAATAAATTAATTAATTAAAGAAATAAATATCTTCTGCACAGCAAAAGAAACAATAATCAAAATTGACAGGGAACTCAGTATATTGGAGAGCATAATTGCCAATGATACATCAGATAAGGAGTTTATTTCCAAAATATAGAGATTGCGAAAATGGCGGCAAAGTGAATGGAGGGACCCAGACCATGTCCCAAGACCAAACTGGATTTACAACGAAAACAAAGGCAAACCGTCAAGAAAGGGCAGCCGAAGGACACCTTGGAGGACCACTTAACCAGAAACACCTACTCAGTCCTGGTAGGCTTGCGAGGACGGGAGAGGGGACCAAGAGCCCTGGGTCCGCAGCGGCCTGGGCAGGGGCCGGGGAACTAGAGGGGAAGTTAATTCCACCATCTTTCTTCCCACCGTGCACGGCCCTTGAAACTCTGTAGCTGGCTAGACTCTCCACTGAAGCCGCACAGACTCCTGGCCCCCAGGGAACTGGGCGGGACCAGGGAACTCAGAGGGACCGGGGAACTAGGCGGAAAGTTAATTCTACTGCCTCCCCTCCCGCCGTGCAAGACCCTGTAGCCGCTGAAGCCGCACAGACTCCTGGCCCCCAGGGAACTCGGCGGGACCGGGGAACGCGGCGGAAAATTAATTCTACCGCCTCCCTCCCCGCCATGCACGGCCCTGGAAACTCTGTAGCCGCTGAAGCCACACAGACTCGCAGACCCCAGGCAACTCGGTGGGACCGGGGAACGCGGCGGAAAGTTAATTCTACCGCCTCCCTCCCCGCCGTACAGGGCCCTGGAAACTCTGTAGCCGCTGAAGCCGCACAGACTCCTGGCCCCCAGGGAACTCGGCGGGACCGGGGAACGCGGCGGAAAATTAACTCTACCGCCTCCCTCCCCGCCGTGCACGGCCCTGGAAACTCTGTAGCCGCTGAAGCCACACAGACTCGCGGACCCCAGGCAACTCGGTGGGACCGGGGAATGCGGCTGAAAGTTAATTCTACCGCCTCCCTCCCTGCCGTGCAGGGCCCTGGAAACTCTGTAGCCGCTGAAGCCACAGACTCGCAGACCCCAGGGAACTCCGCGGGACCGGGGAACAAGGCGGAAAGTTAATTCTACCGCCTCCCTCCCCGCCGAGCAGGGCCCTGGAAACTCTAGCTGCTGAAGCCGCACAGACTCACGGCCCCCAGGGAACTCGGTGGGACCGGGGAACACAGTGGAAAGTTAATTCTACCGCCTCCCTCCCTGCCGTGCACGGCCCTGGAAACTCTGTAGCCGCTGAAGCCGCACAGACTCGCAGACCCCAGGGAACTCGGTGGGACCGGGGAACGCGGCGGAAAGTTAATTCTACCGCCTCCCTCCCCGCCGTGCAGGGCCCTGGAAACTCTGTAGCCGCTGAAGCCGCACAGACTCGCAGACCCCAGGCAACTCGGTGGGACCGGGGAGCGCGGCGGAAAGTTAATTCTACCGCCTCCCTCCCTGCCGTGCACGGCCTGGAAACTCTGTAGCTGCTGAGGCCACAGACTCGCAGACCCCAGGGAACTCCGTGGGACCGGGGAGCGCGGCGGAAAGTTAATTCTACTGCCTCCCTCCCTGCCGTGCACGGCCCTGAAAACTCTGTAGCCAGCTAAACTCTCCGCTGAAGCTGCACAGACTCGTGGCCCCCAGGGAACTCCGTGGGACCGGGGAACTCAGTGGGAAGCTAATCCTACTGTCTCCCTTACCACCCTGCATGGGCTCTGGAAACTCTGTAGCCAGCTAAACTCTCCACTGGAGCCGCACAGACTCGAGGGCCCCAGGGAACTCAGCTGGACCAGGAAACACAGTGGGACCAGGGAACTCCGCGGGACCAGGGAACTCAGCGGGAAATTATTCCCACCGCCTCCCTTGCCACCCTGCATGGGCCCTCGTAACGCTATTGCCTGCTAAACTCTCGGCTGGAGCCACACAGACTCCCGGAGAACAGGGGACTTGGCGGGATTAAAGTGGGTCCTCCCTGGAGAATCCAAACCCAGGAGAGGGAGCCACAAACAGCAAAACACCAACACCCACTGGAAAAACTTGGCAGACTCCAAAGCCCACTGTGATAACAAAAATGGTGAGAAACAGAAACAAAAGCCAAATGGAAGATCAAGAGACCTCTACAGAAGATGAAATAAATGGGGTGCAGTTAAGCAAGTTAACAGAACTAGAATTTAGAGCCATGATGTTGCGGAAGCTCAACAGCATGTGTAAGGACATGAGCAACATGAGTAAAGACATAGAAATGTTGAAAATAAACCATCTGGAAATGAAAAACCAACAGGAAGAAATGAAGAATGACATATCAGAAATGAAAAACACACTGGAAGGTCTAAAAAGCAGAGTAGGGGAAGCTGAGGACCGGATCAGTGAATTAGAAGACAGGCTAGAAGAAATCAACCTATCAGAAAACCAAAAGGAAAAAAAGATTAAAAAACAAGAAGAGAGCTTAAGAGAATTGTGGGACAACTGGAAACGTAATAATATTCGTATCATAGGAGTCCCTGAAGAAGAAGAAAGTAAGCGAGGGCTAGAGAATATATTCAAAGAAATGGTGACAGAAAACTTCCCTAATTTGGTGAAGGAAGAAGGCATTCAAGTTCAAGAAGCTCAGAGAGCCCCAAGTAAGAAGAACCCAAACAGGCCCACACCAAGACATATAGTAATCAAACTGCCAAAAATTAAAGACAAAGAGAGAATCC